GGAGGGAGGGGGGGGATACAAAGAAAGAGGGGTAAAAATGAAAAGGGACATGACTCACCTCAACGGTATTTTGCTCGACGGCTTCACCGGCGGTCGTAGCGCCGCTGACCGACGAGGTGATTGCAGTTGCAGTTGCAGCAGCCGCGCTGCGTACGCAAAGGTAACATTCCCCAAGACGCAGTGCGGATGCCTCGAGCTCCCCCAGCTGCAAGATCAGGCCGTTGCCGCCTAACGTCAGAGGCCAACCCTCAGGCACCACCGCCTCGTTTCCCTGCAATCAGACAAATGGATCATGTCATATCTCGCCTCTGATCATCATCATGTGGATGCTTTCGCGTTAAACATCGTAATTTTCATCATGTTCTGATAAAGCTAAACTCTTCCGCACACGTTGTTTCCCGAATATTCCGCTGAAGAGAAATTGATATTTTCAAATACCCAATAAAAATAGAAAATTAAGAATAAAATTGTAGCTATTAATCGAAAGTTATGAATTAAGCTATATTTTTGTAGGCAGATTGTATATGAAAGCGGGAGGAATTAAGCCGTTGGAAAGCGATATGTTAATTGCGTTGATTATAGGATATATTCAGAATTAAAACGATGTGTAGTCAGTAATTGTCCTTTCTCTGTTGAAAAGCATAGTTGATGAGCAGGAATTTAATCGGAGTCAAAACATTTCGCAAAGCAAAGAAAGTGACAAAGTATTCTGCGCGGAATGTATTAATGTTGAAGATTGCATCTTGAAGTATTTGTGCATGCCAGAATATTACAACATCAACACTAGAAAGTTTGACGTTAATTGCATTAATAATAGTTAAGCCATGTAATAATTAGCATAATTCTAAATAAAAATAACTAATTATGTAACAATTATGCTCACAAATAAACCTCAATTAGTGAACAATTCTTTTAGACTTTAATAATGTAAAGATTTGAAAAATAAATAACTCCATCGATATATAATAACTATTATATAATAACTATTATATCGTACTGTAAATAATGTAAAAAATTGAAAAATAAGGCTATAATCAAATAGCACACACTAATTGTCGACACTATCGCGATGTTCATTTCTAGGCACCATCGCATTTAATTTAATATTGACTTATTACGACTCATATCTCCTCATCTTTGAAGGAGAAGAGATCGCCGAAGGTGCGAGACTCTCTCGAGTGCACCTTGCAATAACGCCTACATACATATGTCGACCGGCGACTACGTGACTCGTCGTGTAAGCAATTAGACGGTAGGATAGCGCAAATAAAGGGCGGCAACTGAATGCACACAACGTGCTTCAGGTTCGTAATTAAAAGCAAATGAAACGCACCCATTCGGTCGTCCACGATTTTCATTATCGAGACACACGCACGACTGCATTCCGTGGGGAAATGGAACTTTATCAAATAGAGTCGGTCGATCGGGAGACCATACGATGACGATTCATCAATTCGTTGTCGCAAAACTAATTAACTCACGACAAAGAAAAATATCAACATTGACACAATGTAAAAACAGCATTTTTATTATAGATATTTGCTTCGCTTTTCTAAGTTTAATTTTTTTTTTGCGATTGATTTATTTATATACTACAGATAATATATTTTGTAGTGTTTCCGTTTGCATTGAAGCAAATGGAACCACTACAAAAAATAAAGCTGCGACTCCGCTCACTTTTTAAAAATACAACATTTCTTTTTAAAAACACAATTTTAAAAAGAATGTTCGGCAACGGTACCAATATATCGTGTTAATTCGAACCCTTGAAAGTGTACATGTACGAATAAAAAATTTCAAGTTTCACGCGTTTGCTTTCTCATCAATTTTCACTGTTCATATCTCCAAAAAATTTTTTTTTAATTAAGGTGGAAACTATGCAGCAAGGGGAAAGCACGGTATCACAAAATTTCATCAAGCGTCCAATGCCACATTGTCTAAGTCTCTCTCGTAATCGCTTTCGCACTAATCAGTGTGAAGGTGACTACGAGAGAGAATGCAGAGGCCATGTTGTTTGACCATGACGCCGAGACGGACGTTTATGATGCGCGATAAGGAAACCAGAGGCCCTCTTGCCTGTCAACCAAGTGTCTCATTAGCGGTATAAACACCGTATGAGAGAATGTATCTGGCGCCGAAACTAAGCGGCTTTCACTGCATGATTTACCGATGTATGTACTGCCTCCCTCCTTCGATTTATATGCAGCACGGCTTACCTACGCCACACGCGGAAACCTTGTGTGAATGTTTTCAAAATGATCGGCGGCAAAACGGAAGGTCCCGACAGGACAGCGGTCTAGCGAGAGCCGGCGTAAATCAGACCTTATCGCTGCGGAATTCGTATTAGGCTAAGTGCGAACGCTGGTGCATTAAATTTCATCTCTCTCGATACTCGCTCGTTTCTCAGACGCATAGCGAATTTATCAGTCGCCCTCGCGCCATATCGCCACGTAATAATTTTAACGTTATCGGCGATTTTTCGCGCCGCGATCGCACGTTCCGTTACGCGCGACTAGTATGATCGCATTGGTACGAATCGAGACTAGTTTGAAAGGTGAGTTGAGAAGCATTTCAACAAATTGGAATCGCTTGCTTTCTTAATGCCGGCAAGCTATAGAAGCAAAGGAGAGATATGAATCATAAACTTTCTATACTTATAAAAAAAAAGACATAAATAATTTGAAGAAATAAAGATCATTTATTATTTTTGTACAAAAATAAAACGAAATAAATTTTGGAAATTTTAATCAAAAAATGGAAAAAATTAATAAAATATTTTAATTTTTAATATCTTATTTTAATATTTTAATTAATCGCTTATATAATAAAACAATGTTTTAAATACTTTTACACTTGTAATCGTGAATTTGATGACTTGAATTATACCGGATTAGTGCACATTAAAAACCAAATAAAATACCTAAATGCAGTGATATAATTTAATTTTGACAAAATTTTACATTTTTATTCTGCTAAACAATACATGACACTATTATTAAATATAATTATTAAAAATATTTAAATATCCTTACATTTAATTTAGTTAATTTCAAGTATAGCAGCTTTTAGTATGCTTTAGTATTAATCTTGCGTGTGCAAGTGCCCGAATTCGCTATAAATCACAAATAGAAATGACTTAGAAATGATCTACCTTCTTTTTGTTTTGACTTGATAAGTTTTCAAATCAATCATTCGCCGTTTTACGGATGATCGGCATCATCTTAACTGGCTAATGCGGTCGTGCGGCGAGAGCAGCGCATAAATACACGTTCTCCTTAAAGCTATATCCATTCGATCTAAGAAAAAAATCCGTAATAGACGATTAAACGAGAAAGATAAAAGCGAAGGGAGACTCATAGGAGACGCGCTGACTGCCGTGCCGGATGCTGTCAAAGTGACAGACGCGTGCATGCGACGAGAGCTCATTAATCGGCTGCTGCACCACACGGCGGTCGATGCATTGACGAGCTTGCATCTACGTGACTCACACAAGTGAAGATACACGCACGCGAGTTGGAGTAGCACGCGCGGAAATATCGGAGCGGATACATCGAAACACAATTTTATAGCGGTCCGATCTGATGAAAGTCCGGCAAGACTGATTGCGATCTGGCTGCCGCGAGGAAGTGAGGAAGCAAAGAAGGGAAAAAGAGGAAGATAGAGATAGAGAGAGCGCGAAGGAAAGAAACGATTCGCGGACTTGTTCCTCGGACTCTGTAAAAAAAAAAATGCGCACGCGCCCCGCCGACCGCCCGTGGTAAACACGCTGTGTATGTTGCGATCAAATTAATCGGCATGACATCGTTACTTCTCCGAGTCGGATGTCTTTCACTCTGTGCTCCCGAGCGCGTCTCTCGATTCGAATGGAGAAGTCTTAACCGCGATCGTCTTCGGCGCGAAAAAATATAACGGTCGAGCACGGAGGTTGAGAGGAAAGAGAGAGCGAGCGCGGATTTACGACGGTATGTATCGGGTTACCAACGGTGCTAATTGTAATTTGCGTAAATTCGCCTGAATTTATTTTTATTGGGTGTTTTTTCTCAAAGTGTTGATCGCGTAGCTAATTGGATGAAGAAAATGTATATGGACATTTCGTGTAAAAGATCTAAGACGAATAGAAATAGACGGAAAGAATAAATCGTCAAATATAAGCGAAAAATAGGAACGGATTTTATTAGATCTATTATAATGTTTGATGTAATCAAACGATAAGCCCACTATAATCTTAAAAATATCCTGTATTTTAACCGATATATTTAAATTACTTCGTGCTAATATTTATTCATCTCCTATATTACTATTCCTAACACGATGCTTAAACACAATGCTTCATGAATTTTTCAAGATGAGATCAAAGCTATAAATTCAATGCGTCTTTACTAATAAAAACTTTACATGGTCTATATAAATGTCAATTTAAGTCAATAATAGCGATCAACAAGACTGATCAATTCAACAGAATAACAAAAAATTGCTAATTCTCCTCGTATTAATATAGCGTTGAATTGCCGTTGAATATGTATGTTACCATGTATGTTACATGGTTCAATATAGAACTTTCGGTACTACAGAAAGGAAACCGAGGTGAATACCGCAGAGATGCGATCTGGCAAAGACTTGCAAGACGTGCCACGGATGCGGCAACGGGATGTATGTATGCGGGCGGTGCATAGAACGCGACGGGTCTGGCCAGTAAACGTGCCATGAACACAGGCGTGCACAAGCCGATTCCCTCTTCGCGGTACGGCTCGTTTAAAATGCAGATTAGACTCTATACCGGCATCCTTTCAGCGCGCGAGTTGCCGACCGACGTCGACGTGGCAACGGCACCGATCAACGCTTGGCTAAAGCAGCATCTACAATTAAACACGTAGGCATACAAACAGATAGATGAAGAAAAATTTATTGTATTCTAATGTAATAACATAAATATAAATATTTATTCGAAAAGTGATAGATGTGAAGTAAATCATATCAATTATATTATATTATTATAGCCAAAAATAATAAAAACATAAAAACAACACACAGGATACTCGCGTTGAATGAGTAAATTGCATAAAAGTATAATCAAAAATAAATATACGATCTATGACGAGATAGAGTATTAAAAATTAAATTCAGAGGAATATTGAAGTACCATTTCTACAATCATCAGTTAAAAAAGAAAACTTCGTGTATAAGTACGTGTTCACCTCAAATCTTTCGATAGTATGTAAAAAAATAGCTAAATAGACGCAAAGACAACGTTTACATTATGATCGCATGAGC